ACTACATATTAAGGAATGTTGGAATTGCATATATTGTTTATTTATGGTCCATTTGTTCTTTGTTTTTTTTAAAGGGTTGATTTTCTTACCTGGTAAGTATCTTCCAGCCTGTCTCATACACCAGACAGGAACATGTTCAATTTCTTGTCCTCGAGCTGCTCGCAGGAATGTGTCATTCTTTAGCTGAGGAAAGTCTTTAGGGCTAGGTAACAAACAAACAAATAAATAATAATAAAACACTGTAGATTAGCATATTTTAAGAGAAAGACACAAAAAAACACTCTTGGTCACATTTATTGCTCTCACAAGATATTTCGTCACCATCGTACCGATGTAAACTTTCAGAGAAAACTTGTCAGATTATAGTTATTAATTGCATTTTTTTAAGGACATCGTAATTACAACATAGAAAAACAGAAAACACACATTTAGTGACGCGTCTTCACTTTTAGACAACACAAAAGCTTTTTGTCTTATCAAAGCCACTGGTGTACCCCTCCCTTTTCCTGCAAACACACAGAGCATCCCACTGAGCTGGTCTCAGTGATTATGGAAGATAACAGTCCTCTGCTCACTTATCGGCTCTCAGCAGGAGAGAAAAACGGTTGAATCAGAGGGATGGAAGGAAGGACCTTCAAAATTAGACTAAACTGTTAGATTTAAAGAAGAAAAACATACAAATTAGAGGACTGACACACAGTTTGTAATGCAGTTGCTGTTAGACTTTCTATAATATCAGTCCTAGTTTTCAGTATTACCAACAGATAATTGTTTAATTTGCCTTTCACCAAGTTTATTTCATGAAAAGCACATTTACATGTCAGCTAAATTGTGTAGAGTTCAAAACAAATCCTGTCTTTGTGCACTCTGATAACATAAAATACTCATGGAATAACAAAATGTTCCAAAAAAATATCAAAATCATCTTTATTTACAGAGATGTTTGACAGATTTCAAAACTGCTGGGTTTCAAAATAAAAGCCTCTGTCTACAAGAAACTGCGAAAATTCAAACCCATCAGTCCCATAGAATTAAAATATTGACATATAGCTTGTTTATTTGCAGTGAAACAAATATGCACGGCCAAGAAGGAGCTAAAACATTAAATTTCTATTAAACGTTTTAAAATATTGGCAGGCTAGTGGTTTCGTAATGTTTTCACCGCCATTAGTCAAAATAAAACAACAAATTAACATTTGGAGTAAAAAAAAGGACTTACAGGATTAAATCGTTCTTGCTCATGTCGGCGGGGGTGAAGAAGACAATGTTATATTTTTAAAAATCCCCCAATTCTTACTTAAGACGTCTGGAGCGACCTGCAGCTTTTAAACTCGCATATAGGTAAGACCTGCGCGGACAAGAAGAGGGCGCGGCCATCTTTGAACGTCACGTGACCATTCGGGAACACAAAGCGACGCTTCAAAATAAAAGCGTTTTTGTTTCTACTTTTTTTTAAAACCCGAAACAAAAAAGCTTTTATTTTGAATTTTGAACGTGAAGGCACAACCAAATGGGATGGACACGTTTAATCCAAGGTACCCAATGAGGTAAATATACCTCATTGCGTTGAATGTTATAGTTTACATCCGGAAATGTCGCGCATGCGCAAAACGCTGGAGGGTAAAAACGCTGCGCAGCTGCAGCCAGACCCAGACGATTAGTTTACTTGCCAAGCACGCTGCCTGTGTAAAACAGTTCAGATATCAAAATGAAACCTGGAGGTGTAGGTAATCTTAATTTAGGTGATCTTTGTGCAGAGGATCGCAAAAGGTATGCAGCAAAGCTAACTAGAGCGTAAAGCCTTCCTGACCCGTTTCAAATAGCTGACAATCTGTGGTAAAATAAAAATTACAATACAGTGTTTACTTGTAGGACTCTGACACAGACACAGCTTCAGAGGRGGGTTCTGGTCATCCATAAATGTGAATTTTCTTTTTAAAAATGTTTATGTAGGATGTCCTTAAAATGTTTAATTATTAATTTGAAACTGATTGATGCTGACTGATCTGGGCACAGACAAACAACATACCTCTAACAACATCCCTCTGAGTCAACAGTTAAAAGATCATAAAACCACAACAAAATTTTGAACCACTTCACAAAACCATCTAAAAAGATCAGAAGTTGATTAAAACTAGTGTGGCAGTATGCCCTGTAGGCTTTGAATGCACCACACAAGTGCCTGCATCTAATTGGTTGTGGCGCTGGCTGCCTGTATATAAAGGGCCCTCCCTCTACCTGTGTGACATGGTTGCCTCCCGGTTCAGACTATGGTTGCAGGTGCTGCACGCTAGCCCCAGGCTAGTGG